TATCCATATATCCCTTTTAAGATCTTATGGAATCACACATTTATCAACATTTGTCTATATCATGCTAATCCTCTATATCAATTCAATAACTAATATATTTCAAGGATTTCTCCCCTCATGCATAATGCCCTTGCTTATCCACCTTAGTAATATCATGTATCAATTTGTATGACCACATAGCAACACATTTATTCACATTGGAGTATATCATTTAATTCCATCAAAATCATAATTTGATTACTTAGGTAATCTCATGCTCAACTCACGAGTTATATACAATATAGTCAGCCATCCTCACCTTAAATATGTCCGGCAAGGTTGCCTATTGAAGCCCCGTCGTTAAACCTTCGATCGGGAATGATTCGAAACAAGCTTGGCTGGCAGAGGGCAAAAGCCGCCCGGCTTTTGCAAAAGCTGCCCGGCTTTCGGGTTCTGCTGCACGAAAACAGCACCTAGAAGTGGCGGTTTCCGGCGATTTCGATTCCTATCGATTCAACAACTCTTCTAAGTTAATTACCAACACTTTATATCATATTTCCACACTTTTAAACGTGTAGAACATCCTCATTAATCCAACCTATGATTTCTTAAAAAATCATATTCACTAAAATATACTAAATAATTAGTTTGAGCGGGGGATAGCATTCGGTTACCTAGAATCGAGCTTTCTTCTTCCCGGAACCACCCCTTCTTGCTCTTCTTTTCTTCTTGGGCGTGTGAGACCATGAGGCTGAGCTCCTCTCTACCTTTCTTTGCTGCCAACGACACTCTCAAATGAGTGGAAGGAAAGGATCCTTCTTATCCTTTCTACATTTGGCATATGGGCTAAATTTTGGGTTGGGTTGTGTACATGGGCTACTCTTTTTAATTTAATCCGACCCGAAGCTATCTATAACTTAAGCCCCCCCTTTCTTATGGGTTGCACTTTATACGGCATACCCCGAATTAAAGTGTAGGAAATCCGTCAACCTTATACTTGCTATTTTCGGTAATTTGGGCTAGAATGCCACTTTGGTTACTTGATGTATCTCGATTGGGCATAAATGACTTTTATTCATTTATTTATATTATTTTAGGCTAGTAGACCTTAATATGTCGGTCCTAAAATGTATTGGATAGTCCTCTCCAATATTCCGGTCTCAAACCCATTTATATTTCTATTATTAGTAAGTGGGCTCGAATGATCTCTCATATTATTTATTTCCCTTTTATTCGGTCCGAACAATTATATATTACATACTTCCTTATCCTTGGGCTTTTTATTTAAATTAACTTGGTCCAAGAATATATCTTAGTTAGTCCCTTCCCATGTTTGGGGTCCGACCCACAATTTAATTAATCGGTATTAATTTAATCAATTAATCATTTCTAGTATGATTAATATACTTGTAACTAGTTTTCAAAGTGAATATACATTCATGACTTTAACTAATTATCCTCATCCAAATTAGTATTTTCACTTTCACTTAGATTTTAATGTTAATGGATTAATAAATCCAAGTTTAAATTGGGAGCGGTGTCACAAGTTAGTTGGTGTGTGATGAGTTAAGGTATGACTGAAAAAAATTGGCCGCAGAGCATGAAAATTTGTTGGGAATTTGACTGCAGAACAAAGAGTTGTCTGTGATACTATACAAGGCTGTTGATTTTGATAAGGGTGGAGTCTTCTTTGTGTATGGATACAGAGGAACAGGAAAAACTTTAGTATGGACTACTCTTTCTGCAACTATACGTTCAAAATGAGAAATTGTATTGAACGTTGCATCAAGTGGGAATGTGGGATTGCATCACTTTTGTTGCCGGGTGGTAGAACTGCACATTCTCGATTCAAGATTCCAATCCATCCCAATGAAGATTCCACGTGCAATGTCAAATAAGGAAACGCACTTGCTGAACTTCTTATTAAGTGTAAGCTTATAATATGAGATGAAGCACCCGTGATAACAAACATTGCTTTGAGGCTCTAGATCGAACCCTTCATGATATTTTGCGATTTGGCAATCCTTCAAGCTTGCAACAACCTTTTGGAGGAACGACTGTAGTGTTTGGTGGAGATTTTAGGCAAATCCTTCATGTCATACCTACAGGGAGGAGGCATGATATTGTGAGGGCATTTATAAACTCTTCGTATTTGTGGCAACATGCAAATATGATGCGTTTAACAAAGAATTTGAGGCTTCTTCATTTGCCAGCCCATGATTAGTCAGAACATTTGATTAAATTTTCTAAGTGGATTGCAAGCATCAGAGATGACACTATTGGAGGACCCAATGACAATTTTGCAGAGTTTGAAATTCCTATTGAGTTTTTGCTTATAGATTTTGAAGATCCAATAGCTAAAATGGTTGAAAGCATTTATCTTGAGTTTCGTACCGTTGATCATGATATGAGTTATTTGAAAAAAGAACAACATTGGCGCCAACCCTTGATGTTGTTGATTCTATCAATGATTATATGCTCACATTAAATGATTCAATCAACATGCCAGTCAGATGCAAATCTTGATTTCTTGACTGATATTCATACTCTAGAGTTTTTAAATGGAATTAAAGCTTCAGGAGTTCCAAGACATCAATCGCATCTTAAAGTTGGGGCACCTGTTATGCTTATGAGAAATATAGACCATTCACAGGGGTTGTGCAATGGAACTAGAATGGTTATCACTAGATTAGGCAATCATGTTTTGGAAGCAAAAGTTTTGACGGGGATAAGTGCAGGTCAAAAAGTGTTGATACCTAGAATGTCTTTGACACCGTCATATGTGAGGTTACCTTTCAAGTTTCAAAGGAGGCGACTTCCTCTTATTGTCTCATATGCAATGACGATAGACAAGAGTCAGGGTCAATCTTTATCTAATGTTGGATTATTTTTGCTCAAACCCATTTTTAGTCATGATCAATTGTATGTTGTTCTTTCGCGTGTTACTGATCCCAATGGTTTGGAATTTTTTATATGTGACAAGGAAGATAGGAGTACTAATGTAACAACCAATGTAGTATTTCATGAAAATTTTCAAAAGTTGTAAACATTTATACTGTGATGTTTTTATGTACTTTCAATATGTTCATTTTTGTATTTGTAATCTCCCCTTTGATATATGTTTTGAGCACAATTACTTGTATTTGTTTGATTTTATATTATTATAATTCACAATAACTTTGATTCTCACAAATAAAAATGATGATTTTTTTTTGAAATATAATGAACATGGTGTGAGATAGATGAAGGTAGAAGATGGTGGAGATGGTGAAGACCGAGAAGTATTGGAGAAGATAGGTATTGGTGAATGTGAAGGGGTGTAAATGGGGAAAAAAGAAGATGAAATAGAGAGTTTTCGTATGAATGAGAAGGGGAGAAAGGGAGGAGTAAAAAAAGTGGAGGTATATATTATGTGAGAATTGGGGACACCAGATGTGTACAAGTATAAGTCAAGGATAATATTCAAATAAATTCAAATATTGTTATTTACAAGATAGGGTGGTGTTTGGAAAATGGATTTCAGTAAAAAAAATATGATGGTTTGACCCATTTTAACGTTTTCAACAAATGAATCTACTATTTTTGTTTGAAACAAGGCGGCTTATATTGATAATAAACCATTCAACAATGGACAAAAGAGATAAAGGGAACATTTCCAGTCACCGGTCCTGTAGTGGGTCTAAGGGAGTGTTTGCAATTGCTTCAACTTTACAAAAGTGATTTTTTAAAGTGATTTTGAGAAAAGTGATCAATAGTAAAAGTTGGTAGTGTTTGAGAAAAAAATGATTCTGAAAAAGTAAAAGTTAGTAGTGTTTGTTAAAATAAGTACTTTTGTGTAATAGAAAAAGTGAGAAGCAGTTTAAAGCACCCTTCTACCTGCTTCCAGCTTTTAGCTTTTAAGTGATTAATTTAAGCAGAAGCTGTCATTTGAAAACACTCTTTTCAGCTTTTTTTAAGCCAAAAGTTGAAAAGCGCCTTTTTTAAGCAACCCCAAACACTCCTTAAGTGAGTGAGAGCAAAACCCTTATCACCCCTGTTAGGGATATTTTATGGTGTCCAATCCTGATAAATATCTTTGTATTTGTGTAGCTATTTTGTCTAGATATTTTAGCCCATTGGGATCTTTGTTAGCTATTATTATACTAGCTTTATTAGGAAATATGTAAAGTGTGCTATTGGGCCCAATCAATAAAAGAGCCCAATCATGCTTAGGTCACATCACACATTCCCTAGGCATATAAATATTGCCTTTAAGGGAATGTGCGAAAAAGGCTTTTTCAGATTATTCACGCATACATTTTACGCTAGAGAGAGAGAGCAGAGAAATTTCCTTTTCATACATGAGCTGTAGTTCGAAATCATTCTTGTATTGAATCGGATCATCTTTTCTTCTCTATTCTATTCTATATTGTTAGTTTGATTGTTGAAACAGGGACAAACAACCCCTACTTAATGTAAGAATGATAGAATAAACAACAACATCAGAAATAAACAAGTTCCTAGCAACGAGCAAAAAAATAAAGACAAAAAGAATTGGAACTTAAGCTGAATCCTAATGATCACGAACGATCTCAAGCTCCCTCCCTTAGCAGAAAAAATCTTCAAAAATCTCGGCGGGTTGAGGTGCCTGAACCCGCCCCTCCCCGTTTTTTGGATTTGATTCTTAAAACTGTTTCTCCTTCTTCTGTGAGTAAATAAGAAAGTTGAAGTGTTTGAGTGAAAGTGCAGAAATACTCCTCGAGCTCTAATTTTAATTTACTCAAGTACTCCCTCCGCATCACATACTTCGAATATCTTTCTCCTTCCAAAGTGAGTGGTATTAAGAATAGGAAACAAAAATATAAATTATTGAGGGTATGATGGAAAAATAGTAAAATAATATGATGAAATATTGAAATGAATGATAAATATAAAAAAATAGGTGTAATAGTGTATTATTTTTGAAATTATTAAGGGTATAATTAGAAGATTTAGAAACCATTTAAATGTGACTAGTATGAGTGTCCAATTCTTTCTTCGATTATCTGTTATCCAGTCGAAGTCCATGTCCATTAGACCATTATCCACTTCCTACTAACGAAGTGGAGCTGCAGCTGCATACCTCACAACAATGGCATTAAAACTATTTTCTTTGCCATTTCATACTGCCATCACTACTGCTTCTCAATCAAAGCTGGCGCAGTTCTCTGGCTCAAAGTCGGCGACTTTTGCTCAAACTTTTCCGAAACACGTCGAGGAATCAGGTCGGAGAAGGTCGTATTTAGCGTGCATGAAATCGGAGGAGGATAACGTTTCAGAGGGGGAGAACCAATGGGGAAAGGTCTCTGCCGTGCTGTTTGATATGGACGGTGTGCTTTGCAATAGCGAGGAGCTGTCTAGGAGGGCAGCTGTGGATCTTTTCGCTGAAATGGGGGTTCGGGCTACTGTTGAAGATTTTGCACCCTTTACGGGCATGGGTAAGAATATATTCAGTGGCACACCCAGCACTTTACCTATGTCCTCTAATCATAAGAATACATAAAAATATATCTTAGTAAAAAATCAGTACTCCCACGTTCTGGGATGAGGACATGGTGCAGAGCCTATGCTCAGGGGCGTATTTAATGGGGACGATTGCCCCGTCTCCCTGGATGTTTACTACACGTTTCTTGCAGTGCCAAGAAAAGTGTTTTCTCTTAAAGTGCTTCTATAAAGAGTTGCTTTTGAATGTTAAGTATATGTTCTGAGGACAGGGGTCAATTAGCTCTAACAAATGGGTTTTCTGATGGGTTTCATTTTCAAATTTAAAGAAATTACTTGATAATTTTAAGATAAAGAATCTATAGGATTCTACTAAAAGTTACACCTTTATTGATTTGATAACTAATTTTAAGCTGTAGCTTACTCATACATGAATCCTGTATTGAGATGGAGTGATAATAATGCACTTAACAGGAAAAGAGAGAAGATGTCAATTTATAGTAAAATAGATCATGGTTCTAAATAACTGTCTGCAACGCCTAATTGGGCCGCGGGTGGTGGCGCAATGGCATTGGGCCGCGGGTGGCGGCACAATGGCATAGGGCCGCTATACCGGTGGGAATTCGATTCATAGGGAAAACCCGTAACATAACCGCAATGAAATCGCATCTGGATCGAAACGGGCCACACCCTGCCACAACCGGCCGCAACAGTACCGCATCACTGGCATCGTTGTCCCCTAGCTTGATACCGTCAACGTTTCGTATCGTGTGGGTGTTATTGGGCTGTCTTGATTTCTGGTGTCATTGTAGTCTATTATTAGGTATACCTTTAACGCTTCCGATCGACACTGTACACTTTATTTTAATGTTTGATTTGGTAAGCTTGTAACATCACTAACATACGCCTAGTTGCCCAGTTGCCCATTTGCCTAGTTGCGTACACATTATTTTAATGTCTCACACCAGATAGTCCTTGTCTAGTTGTCTAGTTGTCTTGGATTAATTTTATCAAAAGTAATAAACCTAAATTAAATTGAAGTAAAAACGTTTGTGAACTGGGACTGTTATGTATTTATTCCTATTTCTAAATAGGGGTAACTATTTTCATATTATGACATTACTATACATTAAACACGAAGATATTTTCCAAGTCTGACAATAATTATTCTGTTTAGAGAATAAAAACATGGCAGTCCTGTTTTTGAGTTCCAAACTATTTTTACTCCTCTCTTGGGAATTCTCCTTTTTATCAACCATTCATTTAAATAAAAAATTTATTGTTAAATATGATTAGTATATAGAACATTTGTTAAAGAATACAAAAAAATCATTCTATTCCTTTTGTAGGAGTTTGAAAATATTTCATCGCAGCGACTGCATTACGCATCGCAGCGGCCGCAATACACATCGGAATTAAAACCATGAAAGGGATGTGATTTTTACTGGATTTTGTACCCTTATTGTTAAGTTTATATTGAGTTGATAATGAATAAAAAGTTGTAGCTTACTCATAGATGACTCCTTTGATGTGACATAGCGATAGTAATGCACTTAGCAGGGAAAGATAGATGAAGAAAACAGTGAAAGCTTAACCCAATAGTGTTTATTAGTATTCAAGCTATCTCTAATGTCTCGGTGATGCCCTATTTATATACATTTACGAGATAATAATAAACAGATTTCCACTTGAAAGCTAACACTATAGTTCAAGATTCATGCATGCATTGCTAACCCAAATTGTAATAGAAGACTAAACACAAGAAATGCAACTATTTATCCCACACTGCAGTGTGGTCTCCACGTTGCGCTGGTTCTGATAAGCCCCACTAAGGAGCTCTTCTGTGCTTTGTAGAGAGTACAATATTGTATATTTACACATATTCAAATACAAAATTGTATTTCAAATCTTTTACTATATTTTATACATACAATGAGTCAATGACAATATGTGTGTGCCCAGATCATATTTGATATTTTGATGAGGATAGTTTTGTTAAAATTCTTTTTTCTGGATATATTCTATTATGATTGTGATATCATGGTTCTAATTAACAAATTGTAGATATATGTTTTTATGTATTAATTGGCGATAATAATGTGGGATTGTTGAATGAGCTCAAAGCTAGTAAAAACAAAAGAATTGAATAAAACATATTTTATGTAATAATACTCATGAGTAATTCATTTTAACAATCATTTGGTAAAAAGAAAACATCTAAGTTTCACCGCTTCCTATTAAAATTCTGCATGTTCTTTAATATTTGATTTTTCTTTGATCTTTTCTACCCATCACCTATGAATTATTTGTCAGATTAGAAAATATGCACTTCTTTATAATCTACAAACGTTTAACTCAAGTGAGCAAAGTAAAGAGTTTTTCGTTGAGTATTCATACTAATGCTTTATATATATTTTTTGTAATAAACTTTCTGAGTATGCAACTATCGTTGAGGCTCCCACACACATCATAAGGTACAACCAAACAAGCTCATAATAGGGACTAGAGATTTAGTATTGTTCATCGATTTAAATATTCAAAATAGAGGTTTAAATGTGTCATGTGACTTGTTCTGCTCTTGCTCCATTTGTGCAAAATTGATAGGAAATCACTGTGTATGAATTGAAGCAATAGAGCTTGGTTGTGTTTCATACATTGCCGAGTAGTTGCCTAGACCTTGTTTCCTGTTACAGTGTCTTTCATTGATCTATTTTATATTTATAAGAATTTAGTCCATATTTTATTCTCTGGCACTTCATTTCCTGTTCTACCCTGCTTGATTTCCCTTTCCGATTATCATTATGAACAAATCAGGGGAAGTGAACTTCTTAGGTGGTGTTGCTAATGCAAAAGGTGTTAAGGGATTCAATCCTGATGCATCAAAGAAGAGGTTTTTTGAGATATATTTAGAGAAGGTAATGCATTTTCTTTTTTGTAAATACTTGGATTTACTTTTAGCATGTTGCATAGTTGTAAAAAGCTATTGAAGCTTAAACCTTGAGGTTCACCTTAATGTGAAGCCATAGAAAATGAGCTACAGGCTTCTGCCTCTCCCTGTCTGGGAGAAACCTTGTTGTATGATAAAAGCAACTGTTTGAGTAGCTAATTACTTAATACAAAGCTTTATCCTCTCCTGCAGTACGCAAAACCAAATTCTGGCATAAATTTCCCCGGCGCCTTTGAGCTTGTCACACAGGCAAGTAATAACTCCATACTTTATTTTTATATTGCTATCATGTGGTTATCATATTTAAGTTATCTTTTAAATCTTTTTTAATCTATGTGACAGTGTAAAAGCAAAGGTCTCAAAGTTGCTGTTGCCTCAAGTGCTGATCGCATCAAGGTTGATGCAAACTTAGCAGCCGCTGGTTTGTCATTATCGATGTGAGCTATTGTTGTCATTTGATTTAGATATTTGATGATTGATTTTTCTTAAGCCTTGGGTGGGCAAATCCTATAACTCATTGTGTCCCAATATTTTCCCTCAAAAGATCGGGAAACAATGAGTTAGTTCTTTATTTTGACTTCGTTAAGTTTTCTATATTAGTGGATGAAAGAATTGGTTTTCTTGATGATCAGAAACAAAGTTCACATTGCATGAGTTGTACAGTTACCTTATGTTTTATATTGTCACTACTGTGGTGCTCACCATCCCTCCGCTCGCCTTCAGGTTTGATGCAATTGTCTCTGCAGATGCATTTGAAAATTTGAAGCCTGCTCCTGATATTTTTTTGGCCGCATCAAAGATTTTGAATGTGCCCCCTAGTGAGGCAAGTTAGCATGCATGCAGTGACACCATTAGATCTCTTAAAAAATACATAAATTTCGAACAACATCTAATTGCTAACATGCTGTACTACGTAATTATAAACTTGAGTATGGGTTGATGAAATTTGTGCTAGGATATAATCCATTACTTGCTTTCAATGCAGTGTGTTGTGATTGAAGATGCAATAGCTGGCATACAAGCTGCCAAAGCAGCAAAAATGAGGTAATAATAGCGGTGTCTTATGTTCCAATGGAACTTCATTTTTGAATGTGTAGCACTAGAATGAGAATGCCATAACGGATACCATTTATTCACATCCATCACTTGAGCAAAAAATAATATTGTTTAACAATGTTATGGTGTCCACTATCTCTTTGATTGTTTTCGTAATTGCATTTTTCTGGTGTTATGGTTTTCTAATAAAATTACAGATGCATAGCTGTGACCACAACATTAGCAGAAGATACTATAGAAGCAGCTGCTCCGACTCTTATCAGAAAGGAGATAGGCAATATTTCAACTGATGATATTCTCAGTGGTGGATCTGATTCCCATAGTATGTATTATGTACTAAAATCTAATGAGTAATTCCGTTTGTACCTTTCGTGATAATGATGAAGCTGATCTGTGTATTCTAAGAGTAAGAAAATCTTGTAATTGATTCTTTATTATTTTAACTTAAGGAGGTTTTCTTCCTTTGTAAACAAATTCCTTGTTTAATCTATTTACTTTTTATCAGCATTAAGCTCTGAGGTTTTACTTACTTTTCTGAAAGTTGCACGAAGGCTTTGAGCTTTGAGCTTCTGATGGGATTTCATGGGAGTGAAGTAGTGAACCTTATGCTCAATGTTAAGTTTTTAGTTTCTATAAAATATGAAATGAGTTCTCATGGAGATATAAATTGCAGAGGTGAAGATGCAGGCATCTCAATCTATCAGTTATCATGCACCATCTTCAATTGAACCCAACATTAAAGAGATTACATCTGTGCAGGATAAATACCCTACCATTGATCCAATCTCCTGGTTTGGAGGGTAAGAGACACTTGACATCTTAATCAGTTAACTGAAAATTTTCCTACCACTAATGAATTACGTCCTCTCTCGCTCTCCGTTAAAAAAGTATCCATGGTTATCTTCAATATTTTTGATTTAAAATCTAATGGTTATGAACCTCCAATAAATGCTTACACTAAATAAATTAAATGTACACATTTAAGCTTCAGTTCATCCCTTACACCAATGGATTCTTTCCATTTACAGCTACAATGAAATACAAACCAGAAGTTACTGACTATGATGGCACTGTTTTGTTGCAAAAGTTATCCGAATGTGGTGCTGCATAACCTGCATTCAGCTGCCGGAAATTAAATTTGTTTGGCACCTTTTCTGTTAGACTGCAATACAAACTTCAAAAGCTAGTTAAACCTTAACTCTCTACGCGTTATGAATATGTCTTGCACCATTTTTTTTGTTCTTTACATACATAGCTTCTATGCAAAGTTGCAAACCCATCCGCCACAGTCAAATATCCCAGAAAAAAGTGAAAGACATTGTGTGCCTATGTGGTGGCATCTTTTTTCTACCTATCAGCCAGTTTTTTTTTACCAAGACTATATTATGTTAACTAGGTTGGATTAGTTGATTCTTCAACAACAACAACAACATCCAAGCCTTAGTCCCAAAAGATTTTGGGGTCGGCTAACATGAATCGATACATGATATCGTAACCAAAAGAAAAGAAAGATAAAAAGATAAGCTATGAAAAAAGGATAATATAAAAAAGAGTTGGATCTACCTAAAAATGATAGAATAAAAAGGACAAAAGGAAGATTAGTTGATTCTTAATGAGGAAAAACATAGAACAGAAGGTATTTTTTGCGAAAGCTTGCTGTTGAAACACATGGTTTACCAGGGAGCGGGTAATTTCAATTAGACTTTGCGCCACATGATTTCTGGAGTGCATCATCAATCATCATTTACCCCAGTGCCGCAAAGGCTCCCACCTATAGTGGGGTAGGGGGGGGGGGTTCGGATGTACGCAATCTTACCCCTGTACTAAAGCTCTCTTACCCCTGTACTAAAGCACAGAGAGACTGTTTCCGGATGACCCATAATGAAAATCTCGTCCAAAATTGCATGGACTGACTGCTACTTCATAACAAAGAAGCGCAGACATTTATTCCATCATATTCTCAAGCCAAAAAATAATGAATCTTTGGCTCCATTACAAATGATGGCTCCATTAATAATGAATCTGGGGTGCATGTTCGAATAAAATGAAATGAGGGGGGGTTTAAAATAATTGGGCAAATCATCGCAGGGAAAGACCAGTTATCCCATATGCACATATGTTCATTTTTTGACTAATCAGCATGTTTATCCATTCAATCAGATCAACACAATTCCAGGAATTTCAACTATTTCGGCCAAATTTACCATCTTTTCCCTTGGAAAAGGAGATCGGAAATCATTATATTGTCTATGACATAGTAAAGGTCCTAGATAAGCTTATTGACTATGAAGTATGAACACTCGATTTATTTATGAGCATAAATAGTGAATTGTTTTTTTTTCTTTTTCTCTTTCACTGAACTCATTTCTTGTCTTCAATATTACTCATTCTATGTAGTTTTTCCAATGCATACCAGAAGCTTCTAAAGAAAAATGTTGTATGATATAAGCTTCAAATGTGCCTTTGTCCATCTTATGAATCAGAGATTTAGAGATTTTACCATTGTTAGCTTTCTACTTTGTTCTCAAGTTGTTTTTTGCGACAGTATATCTGTTGGCTCTTGAAGACACTTGATTGGTCAATGAAGACTGTTAAGACTATTCAACTTCTAGATCAGCACAAGTATGATTTCAGTTTAATGTGACATGAGGCTGCATAAATCATTCATCAACAGGGTGCACGTGTCCCGGCACAATGTTTTGAGATATACAAGTTTGGGCATTGCTGTTTCCTGTCTTGTTTTCACCATCACAAATTGGAAGGTAATGCTTTAACTAAAAGAGGGTTTGCATAAAAAATGATTTGGATTTAGATTTAGCTCTATTCCGTCATACATGGTTTTCGTTGATCTAATTTATATATTTATGGAACTGTTTTTAATTATAAATTATCATTCGTACTCTTTTATAGGCAATGCAGTATACGTCTCCAAAAGCTATTTGGAACTTTTTATTTGGAGTCAGCAGCCCCCCTTTTGGACAAAGTGAAGGTCTGGCGTTAGCAAATTCTTTTTGCTTGCTTCATGCCTACTTTTCAAATTGCAATATTTCCCAGTAAACGAATCGAACCTTAGTTTTATTTTCATTTAATTATTCTGTTTAGCTACTTTATAAAATGGGTTCTAGCTGAAATAAAAGAAATTCATTAAACTTATTCATACTGCAGACTCATCTCGCACACAGAGAATTGAACAGCTCATAAACTATATTTCTGATGTAGAGACCAGGCACGTATATACCCTTAGTTTATTATTGTTCATGATAGGAAATAGTTACCCGCTTTACGCTAAAACCCCACTTATGTCCCTTGTTTGATACTTCACATTTTCGACTAACTTGAGTTTCTTTTTATCTCAAATTTCAATTACCGACATCTGCAAGGAAAAATGCAACTACTGTGCCAGAGTTCCCAGCTAAATTAGATTGGCTAAATTCTGCCCCTCTTCAGCTCAGCCGGGTAAATTAATATCCCATCTTTCATTTTCCTTTATATTGTCATATTTGATGGTTGTAGCACAAAAGTTTAGAAAGGATTTGAGTGTAACTTTCAGCCTTAACTTAGATTTTCATCTTTTTACTTGACAGGATTTGAGAGGCAAGGTCGTTCTTCTGGACTTTTGGACATACTGCTGTATTAATTGTATGCATGTGCTGCCAGATCTGAAATTTCTGGAGAAAAAGTATAAAGATATGCCTGTAAGACTACTTTTTCTTGGTTCTTATTTCAACCAATTGATTCCATGATTTCCTTTTTGATTTACAATGCTCCTGACAAGTACATGTCAATCCACCATTGTATAATGCATTCCTTCCCAACCATCAAGTTCTTTGAATCTCTGCACGCATATATCATTTGATCGTTTCACCGCGTAAATTATCTAGCTATAGTATGTGCTCGTTAAACTATTAAAAGGAATGGCGTTCATTCTGAATTTGTAACCATGGGTTCTTGAATCTCTATGTCTACACTACTATGTATTAAATTCATCACAAACTACTAATATGTAGTTTGTGATTATTAAGGCTGGTTTTTGATAAATCAAATCTAAGAACCATGAATATCATTTTTTTAAAATTAAATCTGCAGAAACATAAAAGAATCTACATTAGAAATAATGTAAAAGAATGTTTAAACTATCCTTGTCCATCATTTGCAATGGAGCCAAAGATTCATTATTTTTTGGCTTGAGAATATGATGGAATAAAGCAAAATGGCTCACTAAACTGTCTGCGCTTCTTTGTTATGAAGCAGCAGTCAGTCCATGCAATTTTGGACACGATTTTCACTATGGGTCATCCGGAAACAGTCTCTTTGTGCTGTAGTACAGGGGTAAGACTGCGTACATCCGACCCCCCCTTACCCCACCGTAGGTGGGAGCCTTTGCGGCACTGGGGTAAATGAAAATGAAAATGAAATAATGTTTAAACTATCCTACAACAGCAAGAGACCAGAGGTGGCAAGCATTTTTTATTTATTTATACTAGATCTGAGCTCAATGTTTTGTGATCATATGCCCATAGACACATATATATTTATTTATATCAGGAATTTCCAAAAAAGAGCAGGGGCGGCTGCCACTATGTGTGCATGCATGCATGTGTGTGTGAGTGCGTGCATGGGCATTAAATATTGTGCTTGTTGCAGAAGAAGGAAAATGTGAGAGCAAAAATTAGTATTTGTGTCAATGTGTGCACTGTGCAGTCAGTCTCTGTTCCCAAATAGATAATTTGTATGTACAGTAAATTCATGAGCCAAATAGATAATTCATAAATGGTTAGTCTTTCAGTTTGTTGTCGTGGGTGTGCATTCAGCAAAGTTTGACAATGAGAAAGACCTAGAAGCTATTCGCAATGCAGTGTTGCGCTATGAAGTCACTCACCCAGTAACTACGTCACCTTGCAATTCTTTTTTCTTGTTATATCTTTGTGTTAACTTTTAGCCCATGACATATTAAACGTGTGGTCCCTTTGCATATCTAGGTTGTTAATGATGGAGAGATGAATTTATGGAGAGAGTTAGGTATAAATTCCTGGCCCACCTTTGCTGTTGTTGGGCCAAATGGAAAGCTTCTTGCACAAATTGCTGGTGAGGGTCATAGAAAGGTATACAAACAGGCTTCTATTTTTGCTCTACTTTTCCCAATAATATGGCTCAATCAATTGCATAATTAAATTAAGCTGAATTCAACTGCAAATGTAGATAATGAAAGTTGTATGATCAATGTTTAATTGAATTATATACTAAAATAAAACCAATAAGATATAGTTTATTCATTTGATTGTAGATTTCTCTTACTTTTGCTTGTTCAAACATGAGCTTGTACATGTCACTATCAATCCCAGATCTCATCTATCTTGAACCAAGCCAAGTTTTTCTATGCATTTAACATTGGATATATTTTATTTACTTAGTTAAGTTACTAACTGATTTTGAAAGTATTTGCCTTCAGCTCGTCCTTTTACCAAGCACACGATCTTAGTTTTATCTTGATGGCTTTGTTCCCATCCCATAGTTACTTTTCCTTACTGAAACATGCATCCCATAGTACATATTCTGTTAAACTTTGTGTTTTATTGGTTTTTTCAAGTGTCCTTCTAGACAATGAGAGATGTTTGAATGAGACTGCTAAGCACAATACGATCGCAGTAGAACTATAATAAAGTTCAGCATTTAATGATTTTAAGAAATACGGTTATCTTTTTCCTGCTACTGTGAATAGCTTGCCTGCTACTGTGAATAGCTTGGTGCTCTTCATAGTAATAATAATATTAGTCAAGTCATTGAGTTATTTATTCATTTACTTATTTATTTATCGGCTTGTACCAAGGATCTTGATGACTTAGTTGAGGCGGCACTTCTTTTCTATGGTAGAAAAAAGCTATTGGATAGTAGTCCCATTCCTTTGAAATTGGAGAGAGACAATGATCCCTACTTGTTAGCATCCCCTTTGAAATTTCCGGGTAAACTGGCAGTTGATGTTCTCAACAACCGTCTGTTCATTTCCGACAGCAACCACAACAGAATAGTACTCTCTCTCTCTCTATCTATCTTCTATATGTGTGTATCTAGGCTTATTCTATATCAGGCTCTCAGCTCTTTCTTCCCAAAAAGTGAAACCGTTGAACTGTGCTGGCAGATGCAAAAAGTATTGTGCATTACTTGTTATTGTCCGTTTGCGGGTATTTCAGGAAAATGCCAATTGGGGAACATAATTTTTTCTTGATTCTTGGAAATGTTTGTTTACTGATATGTGATATGTGAACACACTGCAGGGGATTTTATTCTTCACAAAATTTTGCTAAGCTAGTTATGATATTGTAAACATAAATGTATTGCTTCCCTGTACCTTCTATTCAGCCTGGTACGTGTTAGGGTAATGTTTGTGAGCAGCATGAATTTTCCTAGACTAGTGGTTGGACTTAGGACAAACGTTAAGCGTATGCTGGCGCCATGTGCTTACATACCTAATGAACAACTTCGAAAACCATTGCTAGTCTGCCACCTACAGAAAGAAATATCTGTTCTTCAACTTGCGTCTATGTTTTGAACCAACAAAATATCTAGTATTACTTTAATCTAATGAACAACTTTGATGACTGTATGAAAACCATTGCTAGTCTGCCACCTACAGAAAGAATGATCTGTTCTTCTCATTTCGTATTATTTCGCTTTTCTCTGCGTAGTCTTAGACTAATTAATCTTGGTGGTATACTGTTACTTTTGTCTCTGTAACACAGGTAGTTACTGACCTTGAAGGGAACTATTTGGTTCAAGTTGGTAGCACAGGGGAGGAGGGTCTTCATGATGGTAATTTTGATGAGGCGACTTTCAATCGACCACAGGTAATGTCAGTTGAATTATCCACATCATAGTTTCTGGAAATGTTTTGGATGTTGCTCCATCTACTTTTGATCGCATTCAGTGATTTGACTGGGATGTCTTTTCACTGCTGAAATATAAGAGAAGTTGGGGTTGCGTTTCACAAATCACGACTTTGAATAGACATTTAAATGGGCAAGTGGTTCTCATGTAATATTGCAAAGTAATTTGGGTTTGAATTAGTATATGGCTTGTATATAAGTGCTCAAACACCATAATGTTTGTTTTTGGAGAAGTTGTCATTATTCTTAGACTGGACTTGATATAAATCGCAAAGTTCAATTTAAGCTGATTTTCTTACCCCCCAATCATTTGATATCCAGAGTCTCTGTCTTTTTAATGTCAATATTTGTTAACTTTGTTCTGTGCAGGGTCTATCTTACAATGCAAAGAAAAACCTTCTTTATGTGGCAGATACAGAGAACCATGCTTTGAGGTACTGCTGCCTGGTGAATTTTATCTGGTTACAAGAGTTTATTTTACGAGCATTTTATTAGATTTTAAGAAATTTTTACCCCAAGCCATCTTCCATTTTCTTGTATGCTTCCTTTAATATGGATGCTTGTGTTGAGTTGAAAAACTCCGCCATGCGATCACTTTTGGTATCATTTCTTTTCCAAGCCAGGATAAGAGATGAGGGTGCTGTGATAGACGCGTGACGGCCAACAGTATCACTAAGTCACATCACATCACATAACATGAATCGAAGAGTTGACTCCAAAATCTTTTGAGATTAAGGCTTGGATGTTGTTGTTATGTTGAGTTTGAAAAGTCAAATCCAAAATCCACATTGAACTTCTGTACTTTCGAACAATTAATCATCATCTAAATATCAAATTTTGTACGTAATTCAAATTTCTGATCATGTAAATGACATTTGATAAAAATAAAAAAAGGTAATAGAAACTGATGGTTATTACAACTATCAATTGAATAAAACTGTATGAATTTCATGGGCATTGATCATGTTTGTTCCATTACTTGTAAAATGTTCTTCTATTGAGTAAAACAATCTAACAGAGAAAAATAGACAAAGTTAGGCGAGTATATTTAGTGTGGTATGAACCAATCAAGTGGGTATATTTCCCACCTTGTCATATTAAAAATGTACCAAATCTTACTTGACATGTATCCTACTTGGATTTGGCATTTCTATTTTAGGTGATATTAGGTTACAACTTGTAATGTCAGTTTTTCAAGGATAGAGGAAATATATGTTTTTCCTTATCTTCCAGAGGCTACTTGTGGTTTAGATGAAACCACTAAGCTAAACTTGTTCAGTTAAGTACCTGGCTCTTATTTTTCTGCAACATATGTTACAGATTTTGACACGTTTTTTCAATTATAATATGTTAAAAATTTAAATAATTTACTTTATTCTTGGTTTATATTTTCCTTTTCCATTATGTGTTATTTATTTCACTAGTCTTTTCAATTTTATTCCATTCATAGACTGTTATTTATTTTATTGTTATTATTTTTCTGCATCTAAATAGATCAATTTTATTCTCATAGTACTTGCAACTTTTATGCAAAGCAGAGTCATTGATTTTGTAAGTGAGTCAGTAAGGACCATTGCTGGGAATGGAACAAAAGGTTCTGATTATGAAGGGGGACGAACAGGAACTACTCAGGCAAGATTTGTACACTTAAAGTAGTGATATACTTCATCCCAAAATTGTAGTCCCGTACCACTATCAGATTTGAGGTTTCACTGATAAAAATTGAGTTTGAATATGATAAAAATTTTATATGCTACGTATAAAATTAGAGATCAAAAGCGATATGCGTTGGCACTACCGTTTTGGCACAGTGGTAGTAGATCTTAATATACAGTCGAGCAATGGTTTATATATGACAAAATGATAATGAGAATGAGATTGTAACATGGCAATGGGATTGCAGGCTCTCAATTCTCCATGGGATATCTGTTTTGATCCTGAGAATGAGATTGTATACATTGCAATGGCCGGTCAGCATCAAATCTGGAAGCATTATACATCAGAAGGCGTAACAAAAGCTTTCAGTGGTGATGGTTATGAGAGGAATTTAAATGGGTCAAGGTAATATTCGTGTCTTTTTCACAATTACAACTTTTTTGTCTCCAAATACGTCATATGACAAAAACATTAAGTTGGTGAATGTTAAGAAATGGGTCAATGTAGTGTGTTTGTTTGTTTGTTCATAATTACATTTTTCATCTCTAAATACATCATTTGAGGTTTATTTTAATGTAATTTTTTTATTCATGTTTAGTTTCTATGCATCAAATGTCTTTTTGTTTAGTGGTCATTGATGCTTATATGCAATTGAAAAATGAATGAGTTGCTATGGGTTGTAGCACACATTGTCATTTACTAAATTATATTAGTGTTGGTATTCAATATCTCAGCCCAACATTAACTAGTACAATTGTTTAACAAATGAAGAACACGCGAAGAACAATCTAATAATAGGGAATAATGAACAACACAAACCAGTATAGTACCACGAAGAATACATGAAGAACAAGCTCATAGTGAAGAATATAGCTTGAAAGAGTTATGGAACTATATTGAGTATTCAAAATAAGATGTTGAATCTCCCTAAAAGGAATTGGAATATTCTATCCCACTTTCCCTATCTCACTAGTGTGCCAATTTATCCTGATTGAGTAAATATTACTTTATTTCCATCATTTCCAATGGAGTCAAAGAGGCAAAGACTCACTATTTTTTGGGTGAATATGATGGAATAAAGCAAAATGGCTCACTAAACTGTCCGCGCTTCTTTGTTGAAGCAGCAGTCAGTCCATACATTTTTCGACGCAGTTTTCATCATGATCATCCGGAAACAGTCTCTTTGTGCTTTAGTACAAGAGTAAGGCTGCATACATCCGACCACCCTTACCCCACCGTAGGTGGGACTGTAGGAGGCCTTTGCGGCACTGGAGTAATGTTGCTGTTGTTTGTTTGTTTGAGTAAATATTACTCTTGTCTCAAATTTTCTTCTAAGTTTAATTTGGCATGTTTATTAAGAAAGCTAAAACGTTCGGGTGTGGTTGATGTAAAAGAAGGTAAACAATATCATGTTATCAACCACATAAACTATTACTCAAGGAAATGAGTGGAAAATTTTGGGACATCCCAAAAGAGAAAGTGGGAAGAAATTTTTGGTGCAGAGGGAATAATTAATACAAAGACTTTTATGTTATTAATTTAATTATTTAATAGACAGTAACCAATTAGGAGTGGTACACAAACGTGATAAGGAGTGTGCGATAGAAGATTTGAACTGCCCAAGAGCATTGGTCCTATTTATATTACTCAGTCTGTGTCCCAGTCCTTATTGTAATATGATTAGACTCCTCTCAAATAATATATCTAGAAGGACTCTACTACAAGATAGTACATACATAATAGGACCACTATACATACCTCCAAATTGGATATATTTTGCTCCTTTACTGCCCCATGCTCTGGATGGGCCACAGCCCACACTGTTGCTCTGGGCCTCTTGACCAATAATGGGGCTTGCCCATCTTTATTTCTTGGGGCACTGGAATCTTTTTTCTTGGGACACTGGACTTCCTATCTTTTGCCTTATCATAAACCGGATCAGACCATCTTGCATATTGTAGCCAACGTTGAGCATAATTCCCATCATTTAGCTCATTATGATTCATGAATATCAGAATATCGGGAACCATGCATTAGCAGATGGATGGAAGTAATTTAAAGAATCACTAATCATGAACATTTAGGGAGTGTTTGGAGTTGCTTCTACTTCAAAAAAGTGATTTTTAACGTGATTTTAAAGAAAGTGCTTAATAGTAGAAGTTGGTACTGTTTGAGAAAAAGTAAAAGTTGGTAGTGTTTGGTAAAAAAGCATTTTTTATGTCATAAAAAAGTGAATAACAGTTTAAACTTTAAGTGATTGATGTCATCCTATGCTGACTCAAAATGTTCATTGTGTCAAACTATCTGCTGAACATTTACTTTACTTCGTGACACAATCTACTTAAAAGCTAATATCCTCTGCACTTTCAATTCAATGGCTCAGCTCCAGGAACACATCATACGCACAACCTTCTGGGGTTTCACTATCACCTGGTAATATTCTGGAACAACCAATGATGATTCTCTCATTCAAAATTTCTATTATGCTTTAGTCATATTTGGCTGTCATGCTATGGTATTTTATAGACCGAAAGGAGGCATATATTGCTGATAGTGAGAGTAGCTCCATTCGAGCCGTTGATCTTAGGACAGGAGGTTCAAAATTGCTTGCTGGTGGTGACCCAAATTTCTCAGATAATTTGTTCCGGGTATTTCTACAATGAGACATGAGAACCAGATTGTCTAAATCAGTTTTTCTTTTCTAAGATTGTCATATGACAAATCCTCTTAATGTATTAGTTTAACTTGCAGTTTGGAGACCTTGATGGAATAGGTTCTGGTGCACTTCTTCAGCACCCATTAGGCGTTTTATGTGGTCGAGATGGTCAAGTTTATATAGCAGATTCGTACAATCACAAGGTAATTACTAATTACTATCTTTAACCAATAATCATTGATACTGGTGGGTAGTAGCTAAGTTCACGTGGTTCTGAAGTTCATGACTCAGAAATTAATGAAGCCATTTTATTTGCTTTAGGTTCATTGTGTACATAAAAGAGTGTTTCTCTTATCATGTAATATAATCACCACCTTTCCTAGCTATGTTGGGGTCAGTGACATGGTATCTGTAGAGTAATTCATTGTCCAAGTTTATTAACAAAGTTTAGATGGGATCGACTACATACTCTTGTTGAAAGTTCAAACCCTAGTAATTCATTGTCCAGAAGTTCAATGCATCAAAACTTTGTTGCAGATACATCGTGATCGGAAGTGTTTGAAATAGAGGTTGTAGATACACCTTAGGAAAGACTATATACTCTAATTGATGCATTGAACTCAATAGAGGTTCTATATTCACAACTCCCTTGTACATTTCCCCCCTGCTTTGACTTTGCACATTTATTAGAAAATCAAGTTTTTTAATACACTGGGATCAGGCTTAGAAAAAAACATTGAATGAAACTAAATTGCATTCTAGGGAACTTCACTTTCTGCTCAGTTATAAATATTTTAACACTAAGTTGAAGAGAAACAATATTGACAGCGGAATATTAATAAGGAGAAAATCAGCTAGAGGTCGTGAGTTCAAAACATCAAACTTCACGGTTCAATTTCTAGGCAACCTAGTCTTTTTAATAATATCTTTATACCTTGTCTCCCCTCTCCCATCTTCACGATTTTGACAACTCCAATAATACGTGATATGCGTATATCACGTTTGGTCTTTGCATGGCAAGTTGCCGATTATGTATCACATGTGATTGCACAATATCACACACCATATTTACTTTCCATGTTTGCATTATTTTACTAATATACAGCTGTAACAGCCGTATGACTTTGTATAAATAGTGGAGAACACTTGATGCAATATACGTGACTTACGACATATTCATCATCTTCCCCAAACTATGTTTCTATTTTTCATATCTATTTCAATATCCAAGCAGTATAAGAGGTTTATAATATATATGTGGAATTGATAAGATGCTAAAAATGTTTATGTCATGGTCTATTGTTTCCCTTCCTTTCCTTTGGTTCAAAAATTTGGGTGGGGAAGATGCTTTATCCACCCCCTCCCTTTCTTTTTCCATCCCTCCAATTTGAGGTTTTTCGAAGGAAAGGCTAAAATTCACTCAATATCCCTCCACTCCCATCCACTTCCCTCCCCTTCACTCCCTTAAACCAAACTTACCTTCAAGTAGAAAAGATGGCGAACATAATGGGATGGAGGGAGTATGTAAGAAAAACATAGTTTCTCACATTTTTGCGCTTTAAAGTTTCAAATGTCTTGGGTTTCAAAGGTACAGCTCTTTTCAAGGCACTATCAATCTTCATATTAGAATATTATCTCTAGTGTATCTTGTTCAAAGGAACAATCGTTCATTTAGAGCTTATAATTTTGTTAACTCTTAAGATATAACTGGATTCACATTCAGTATTTTGTTTGAGTTGGAGCTGTATTTAATTGCCAGATTAAGAAGCTAGATCCAGTTAGTAGAGCAGTGAGCACATTAGCTGGCACTGGTCGTGCTGGCTTCAAGGACGGGGCATCTTCAAGATCTCAGGTTGTTAGTATTTTATTATCTCAGGTCTCAAAAGTTCCATGGGATTTGATGTGTGTTAAAAATAAATGAAATTTAAGAAACATGTCATTTGCACCAGTTTGAATAGTAAAATTGTAGGGTGCATTGGTCTTATTTTCTAGATCAGTTGGTAGATCCCTACTTTTATTGGTATCCTCTTTCTGTTGTGATGTTAAGTGTCTTATACAGCACTCTATATAGAGGATCAACTTGTCTTGAAAACTTTGTTTTATCAAAAGGATCCCCCTTACTACTGCACTTTACTTTTTTCTTGTTCCTTTACCTGAATAAATGGCGTGAAAACTATGTCAGACAAAACAAAGAAACTTTAGGAGAGATAAATTGTTCTTGTTTGTAGATGTAGCCTATTAGCCTATATAGCTTACACTTCATGATGAAGGAACTGTAATGGTAGAATTTTGTTTCTTAGCGTACCTCAAGCAAGAGAGATTTCCTGTAGGATTAAAATGCGCCACTTAAGTGATTTTTTTTGCCAGCTCTCTGAACCAGCAGGAATTGCTCAAGCAGAAAATGGTGACACCCCTCTCACTTGGTTACTCTTTCCATTTAATTAAAGAAAATGTGTCCTGTGGCTCTCATGGTTGAATGGCTTTATCCAGGAAGATTATTCATAGCAGATACAAACAACAACCTTATCAGATATTTAGACCTGATCGATGGAAAAGCTGAACTTCACACGCTACCATTAAAGGGAGTTCCGCCTCCTGCAGCTAAATCCCCATCTTTGAAACGGCTTAGGAGAAGACGAGTGGACACACAGACCATTGTTGTTAATGGTAGTTCATCAAAAGAAACTCTGTTACATCTCCAAATATCTGTGCCTGAAGGTTACCACTTCTCAAAGGTTCTCTCTCATTCCTCCCTCTCTTCCCATTGACCTATTCCACTATAGATGGACCATAGTCGTTGATGGTCTTCTTTATTTTTTCTTGCTTCCAACAAATGTAGGAAGCACAAAGTAAATTTTGCATTGACATGGAACCAGAGGATGCAGCTCAGATTTATCCTATGGATGGAAGTCTCAACACAGAAGGTTCTGCTCTTATACAAGTCAGCAGGTCATTGGCTTCACCTTCCACGGCTAGAATTCATTGCAAGGTAATTGCTGTTTTACATGTGTCAGCATTTGATACAGAGCAACAAATCATATGAAAGTGTGAGTCAAAGTATCGTTCAAAAGAGGATTCACTAAATTTTTAAATAATGTCAAAATGAATATACTGTTACAGAAAGATAGAAGAGCAATCATGTAGAAGAATGGGGAGTCATAGCTGATTGCTTTTCTTGATTAATTCCATTCTAAGTAGATTTTAATACCATCATTAGTTAAATTATTTTAGGAAGTCATTTGCTAGGATTTCTCTTTCCTTGTTTTAGTGATTTTGATGCATATTACAATGTAATATTATTGAAAGATAAACGAGCAATCAAGTAGGAGAATGAGAAGTGATAGCTGTCTGATTTACTTGATTGATTTTATTCTGGTTCGATTACCTTCAATAATTAATCTATTTTAGGAAGTGTTTTTCTAGGAAAATCTTTCCTTGTTTTAGCCATTCCTACGCCTCTAATCCTATTTATAAAAGGGAGCTTTGCCATGCTTATAAAATATTGAAGAAAGAATTAAGAAGAAAATTATTGTAGTTATCACAACACTTATAGTTTTCCTTATCCTTAGGATATCTGCAACTACACTAAGCTACCAGGTTCCAAAACTTGCTTCCTTCTGCTAATTTTCCATCTTCCCCAAGTAATAGTAGTTCGGTTGTATGTGCAGACCATTTTATTCCTATAAGGGAATATGAGAGATATGAATAAAAATATTAAGACTAGTAAATACAAACAGTTATTTAAAATATCGAACTGTATCAACAAAAACTGATACTCCGTATTAGTGTAGCATAAAATACAAAAAGTTATATGAAAACCTGGTCGGGATATTAGTTAGAGCTTCGTTTTTGAAGGTTCATAATATACACTTGCTTTTATTTTTATTTTCTGTTCATGTGTTAAAGCTATGCACCACATACTACCAATCCTATTGGATGGAATCAAATTTACAAGGATCGTTCTGGTTGTGGTTTACCTAACTAGCTAGCTGAAGCTCAATTTAACAGGTTTACTACTGTAAAGAAGATGAGGTTTGCTTATATCAGTCTCTGACCTTTGAAGTACAATTTCAAGAGTTGAATCCTGATTCCTCTCCTGCCGAGATCTCACTTCCATATTTTGTAAAGCCAAAGGTATTCTCTAAGGGTAGCTTCCCGTCCTAAATACTTATTCATTGATCAAGAAGCATGTGAGTTACACATCTTTTTGTTGATGCAATAGTACTGACAAATGTTATGTGCATGCCGCAGACCTTAAAATCATATGCTTTAGTATATAGACCCGGTCCTAAGTATGTTCTTGATGTGCATGATGGTTTGACTATAATGAGACATTACCATATATTGAATTAAATTCTAATAGACCCGGTCTCTTGAGCTTCACTCTGTTGTTTCGTTGTTCTGTGGCATACTGATGGCCTGCTGTAAGAGGAAATATCCTCTTTTTTCATTTTTTCTTCTTCATTGTCAGACGAAGCTCCATCTTCTTTTTACTTTCTGCTCGTTTTGATTTTTTCTATTTACTTTTTTCTTTCCAGTCCGGTGAAGCTCACATATTTTTTTTACTTTCTGCTAGTTTTTTTCCCTCTCTTCTTCCTTGTCCATCATATCATTGAGACTATCTGATGAATTCGCCGGAATCAGTCGTGCATTCACTTTTTAGTTTCTTTTTACATTTTGGTTTTCGATTTTCCTTTTTATGTTTTTCATTCTTATGTTGCCCGCCTATCAGAAGTGACATTCTTTGCTGCTAGAAGTAATGAAAGAATGGGAGAAAGAATTGAAAACCATCAGGAAGAAATAAAATAAAAGAAAATCTCCCAAGTGTGGCGCTGACATTTTTTTGTGGCATTGATTCTGGTGACACCATCAGAAAAAGGTCTTCTATGATAGGGCTGAAAAGATATTTTTAAAATATGGCTGAGATGTTTCATTTTTTTTGGAAGAGATGAGATGGTTCATTCCTCCATAGATAAGCATGGCAGCTTCAAGGTGCAGCACCGTACAAAACTATGGAGGAGTTGAGAAGACAAATGAGATGGCACTAGGGATGAATTTATTTTCTATTCTTACTAAATCATAACAAATAATTAATTAATCTAAATAAAGTAAGTATATTGCATTTCATATTCATACACTATTTTTTTCTGTATTTTTTTATTCATACACTTTTGTAATATAATTTTAATAGTCAATGGAGCCAAAGACTCGATATATTTTGGCTTGAGAATATGATGGAATAAAGCAAAATGGCTCACAAATTGTGTGCGCTTCTTTGTTATGAACGAATAGTCAACCTATGCAATTTCCGACGCAATTTTCACTAGGGGTCATTCAGAAATAGTCTCTCTGTGCTTTAGTACAGGGGTAAGGTTGCGTACATCCGACCCCCCTTACCCCACCATAGGTGGGAGCCTTTGCGGCACTGAGGTAATGATGATGATGATGAGTCATTTTTTCCGTAAAATATTTTTGTATCTTTTATATGAGTTTTTATACATATGCATGATTCACATTCGATAATATATGAGATTACATTTCCATATGCGCGAGTTATATTTATGGACGATGCCTGGAGTTACATTTGATAATACATGACTTGTACGTCTTAATAAATACTACGTATATATTTTGCATGGAAAATTCTTAAGGCACACCTTGGGTTACACCCTGGGGTACACCCCATTTATTTGCCCTTCACACAGACAAAAAACGTAAAAACACTGACACTTTCGATTAAACTGTCGGTGTGAGTTTGCAGATCTGTCAGGCTGGTTGCACGCAAACCAATGTCGGTGTGCACAGACACTAGTTGTCTGTGTAGACAAAAAAGTGTCGGTGCGAACAAAATTGGTTTGCAAGTTCAGGGGGTGGGAAACTAGTGTCGGTGTACACAGACATTAATAAATTGTCTGTGTAGAAAAAAGTGTCTGTACGTATACAATTTTTGTCGGTTTTCTTTCCTTCTCTCTTTTTACGTTTTATGCACACCGACACTGATTTGCTTTCAGTTTCTGTGTACACCGACGAAAATTGTATATGCACAAACACTTTTGTTTCTACACAGACAACTAATGTACGTGTACATCGACGAAAATTGCATATGTACAGAAACTTTTTTCTACACCGACAACTAATGTCTGTGTACACTGACACTGGTTTCCCAACCCCCTGAACTTGCAAACCAATTTTGTTTGCACCGACACTTTTTTATCTACACAGAGAACTAGTGTCTGTGCACACCGACATTGGTTTGCGTGCAACTAGCCTGTCAGATCTGCAAACTCACACCTACAGTTTAATTGAAAGTGTTTGTGTTTTCATGTTTTTTGTCTGTGTGAAGGGCAAATAAATGGGGTGTACTCCAGGGTGTACACCAAGAAGGATTCATTTTGCATACACACGAATTACATTTCATATATGAAAGATGCCAGAATGATCATTGGAGAGAGTAATGCGAGTTACACTCCTCCATGTGAACGGGTTGGATTACATTTGTCGCTAACTAAATTTACATTTCGTATCAACGCGAGTTACATTTCAATACATGAGATTTACATCATGAAAAAATGTTGAGACAAAAACAAATATACTGTTCACACACATTTGTTTAATTAATGGTTAAACCTAAATGACGTCATTATAGGTGTGGGAACATTATGCTCCCGTAGTATAACAATTGTTACTAGATTGAGTTTTTCGGAAAAAGTAAGTAAATTTGCAGGAATAATGAAGTGGAAAAAGAAAAAAAATGTAAGAGATTTGACATGAGATGAAAATGTAGGAAACATATTACATACAACATCATCTAAGCCTTAGTCTCTTAAGATTTAGGATCAGTTAATAGTAATCGATACATAATATCAGAGCTAAAATGAGAAGAAAGATAAAAAAGATAAGATATGATAAAGATAAGGATAAAATGAAGATGAAATTGATAAGATAAATATTATTGAAAGAATACATATAAAACAAAATGGATAAAAGGAAACATATTATACGACGATAAAAAATAAGGATATTTAGGTCTTTTATTACATTATTCCCTCCGTCCCAAATTGAACTGCAAACTTTGACTGGCACAAGGATTAAGGAATGACAATAAATGATGCATGTTTTTACACTTTTGCCCATCATGTTAAAAGTAGATGCCTTTAAGTTGATGGAAAAAGTAAAAGTAAGGGTAAATTTGTCACTTCATTCTTATTTACATACCTAAAATAGAAGGTGATAAATCATTTTGGGACAACCAAAATAGGAAATTTTGCAAAACAAATTGGGACTTTAGAAAACAAAGAGGGAGTATAATTTTTAAACAAAGAAAACATACAAGTTAGAATGAACTTTAGAAAAACAATACAGTTTAAGTGAAAGTGATATTTCATTTAGGTTTGATTAATTGCATGGTTTGGTATATATATTTGGTAAGTGAATTCATTGCATTAATAAAAAGTATCTTAGATATAGAGCTCGTTTGATGATCCCTATTTTCGGCATATCAGGTTTGTCAATTAATTTTTTACGAAACACAATTTTTTTGATTTCGTGCACTAAATTGTGTAATAATCAAAATAACTAAGGTTAGAGTTACTTTTACGATTGAATTGGTTGAAGTTAGTGCAGATGATCATTTTAGTTATTTTCTCATATAATTTATTCTTTATTTTATTAATAAATACTACGTATATTTTAAAAATAGTTTTTCTAATAATTCAACAAATTTATTCAATCAAACTGCTTCAGTTAGAAATTTATAAATTTCAACAAAATCAATCGATTCATCCAATTTTTGTGTTCAAACAGGCTCATAGTTAAATGCTTTATGCTTATATATGAAACATATTGAATTACATTAATAAACAGTACAATAGTAGCTCACATATAGTTATATAGTCATATATGAAACAGATAGAATTAGTAAATGACATGGGGCGTGTCTCACTTCAAGAAGCAATACAGTCTGGCATGTCATTTGCCTAGTAAAGGCTCTTTTGTTTTCGTATCTTTGTGTATCCTTTGTTATTTGGCTCTAAAACTCTATAAAAGACTAAAAGATATGTGAAATTCAATGAATGGACTTCCAATCCATTTCAATCCCTCGCAACTACACTATCTCAACATTATCTTTATCAAAAAGCTATTGTATTTTGTAATATTCTGTGTTCTTTAAATAATTTAATCATTTAGGATTAAAAGTTTGATTTGGCAAAGCCTACACTCGTATCTCTGTGAGTTAACATTAATAAAGGATGACACCACATCTTCGAGGGTCCCAACATCGGCCGAACAATTAGCTAGGAGATCTAAATTGGATTTTAATCATAAGTTGACACATAGAGAATGATGTTATGATTCTAGGTTCTATGCATTTTTACATAACAATCTCTCATCGCAATTGTTAGGATAAATATTAATATGCACTATGTTACGTGTAATCAACCCCAGACTTGTTCTTTTTGTTTTTTTTTTTGTTTTTTTTGTTTTTAAATTCAAATCATAACATGAATATATACTCAAACAATATACATACGAATGTAAATTAACATGAAGTATAATTTAGTATAATATCTTCATGCTAATATAAACAAGCATATTAATTTTGCAAATTAATAATTCTTATACGAAGTATAAAACATCTATGAGCATCAATATACATTAGTACTTGGATGTAGATACCGATACGAGGCCCGGGAGATTCCTTGTTTGCGGCTAGGATTGGGATTCAACATGAATTCAACAGGAGCGGCAGGTACTAGAGATTGACAATTAGCGATAAGATTGGCTTAGGGTGTCACTCCCTTAGTCGGTGGACATGAATGGTTTCTTCTTTCTGTGGGGGTTGTTCGACAGCAAGGTTAGAACTTTAGAAGAAACCAATGCAACAAAAACAACCAACATTAGAGCGCAACAAGGTTTGGCGAGAGTTATGTGTGATTAAGCATCAATGATGAAGAGGTGGGGATCATTTTGCCGGATGTGAATGATAACGAGACCGGGAGGGGGACTTGACGAAGTGGTTGCGGGTTGATACAGTTGTTAATGATAAGGCGGTGAAATTTTTCTGTTAAGGGATGTACTCGCGTCAATTTGGAGATTTAGTAGGGGTGTTTCTATTAAGAAGATCGGCGAAAAAGGTATTTATTCTCCTTGTGTCATGAAATGGATATGAAACATGTTATTGAATATGGCACGTGGTCATATGAAGAAAATCATGTAGTTTTGCGTGCTTTAAAAGCTGTGATCTGCCTTTGAAACTTTCGCTAAATTTATCAGAATTTCGGACTCAAGTTCATAACCTGTTAGTTGGTTACTTGACTTTAATGGTTGCAAAATTATTGATAACTCTTTAGGAAGATTTGTTAAGTTAGATAAAAATCAATTTGAAGGATGCTAGAGGGCTTACTTGAGAATTAGGGTGTGTCTAGACATATATAGGGAGGCCTCAGAAGAAGAATACGCAAAACTTCCAAACTTTTGTTTTGTATGTGGTGTCATCGGCCATGCAGATAGGTTCTGCCCTCGAGTTTTAGGACAATCCACCTAGGAGCAAAGTAAGAAGTTTGTGCGATGGTTGAGGGCTAATAATGGGCGTAGCAGTGAAAGTAGCAAGGGGGAATAAATGGCTTGTCCTAGAGAAGGGCAACAAACCCAGGATAAACATGATGGTTGGAACAAAAAAGTCCCAGGTATTAGGAACCTGTGTGGAACATGCTTCTCTCTATGATGCAAGTGAGGCTTCCGAAAATGGGAAGCAAATGGCCGGCATGTGTGCAAATGGAAGAACAAGAGCGGAGGAGGGTTGCAGCAGAGGCAGCATCAGAGGCATACTCGATGATGGAGACGGAGAACTTTGGCAGATAAAACAAGGTTGAGGCGAACTCTGGATTATTGTGCATTTTCTAGTGTGAGTAATTGTATGTCAAATCTTAGGGTTGGTGACCGTATTAGGGATGTCTATCTGATTTTTGTGTGGTTTTGATATAATAATATAAGCCTTTGCCATTAAAAAAAATACCGATACAATTGAACCAATTATGTAACTGTTAGAAGCATGTTTTGTCTATTTAGAGGTGGACACAATTTTCATATTAGGAGCGAAACATATGAAATTGGCAGGTTTTACTTTGACTAGAACCCATCTTTGACTCTTTGAGGGTCAAAAGGCCAGACACCCGAAAATAGTCCAATCCAAGTCTGACTTTTTATTCTAGTTAAGATCAAATAAAAAGTCTCATTCCCATGAAAAGTAGGAATAAACCGATGCATCAAATCGAAGATCTA